CTGTAAATCTAAGCAGGCAGTATGTATGAGCATGGCTTTATTGTAGTATTACAGACACGTTTACGCAGAACGGAACTTGGAAAGTTTTCAAATTACGTCACTCAGTCACGTGCCTTCCGGCCGGAAAACCGGCCCAAATGGAACAATATGGCGATTACTAGTTACCTGCGTCCTACCTGCCATTCGCAAAGGACGCCGGGAACCAGCGAAAACGCAATGTCGCTCTTTCTGTTCGAGTGTTCGATTTCGTGGTTCTCAGTATAAACAATGACGCTCTTGATTAACGCATTCTGATTGGCCGAAAGTTCACGCCGCCGCGTAGGGTATACCACTTAGTCGAGGAAGGGGTGGCGGGTTTCATAATGATGGACAACATGGCGTAGTCAGCTGGTTATCGTACTGTTTACGGTAGATGTGGCAATATTCTGTTAAAGTCAATTTTACAATTTTACCCCTATAGTCGAACAGTGAACGGAATTCATATCTTATATAATTACGGAGCGTGACAACTCCCAAAATAATACCCTGCATATCAGGGAAGGTTTCCATGTTATTATAAATGTGTGCTTCGACTCCTTAACGAGTTGACATGTTGCATTCTAAGTGAGCTGATTGTACTGATTATTCCGAAATAATGCCCAATTGCGCAAAAGACGGTTCGGTTTGATACGTGCCAATGTGTGTTATTCGGTTCAGTCAAACCCGGGAAATGTTACCTTTGACATGGAATGTCACGTGTTGTCTGGAAATCATCACGCGGACGAGTCAACGTATGTTATTTTTGCACGTAAAACAGTGTGTATCTGAGCAATGAATCGCTGGCATTGTCGTCTTCGTTTCATTAGCTTTTTTTTTTTTCTTTTTTTTTTCATTTTGATCACAGAGTAATGGAATATTATGTCAGTTATGTACAAAATGAACAACAACTATTATTAAAAAAATACGTGTAAATGCTAAAGAGATTGCCTAGAAACGGACTGTTGACACGTTGAAAATGTGACCACCAACCCATCACATGGATTTATGCTAACTGTGAACAAACATGTCAAAACAAATATTTAAAATGATATTCGAATGAAGATAACTATTTTTATTAATACAAACTTCTTTAAAATTTCTTAGCACAACCAAACAAGAAGTAAAACGTCTATAATAATTCCAAAGATAGTAATATTGTTCTGCAAATGGATTTACTATATAACAATTCTCTGCAGTTGTAATACATTTCATATATTCATATATGCAAACTTTCTATTTTGCGGCCGATTTCTTGGATCATGTCGAAGTCCCGAGTGAACCTTGCTGTCCAGGTATCACGTGACCAGTTACGCCTTCCTTTGTTATGGCAATTAAGTCTGGTAATCGTAACCGTTGTATAACAGACCTAGTGTAAAGAAATAATAAAACTAATGTATTCAGTTTATAGACTCTGGTATAATCTCATGCCGCTGCACGACTGAAACTCTTCCCCAGGTGGCCGACGATCCGACTGCGGCCGGCGAGAGACTAATATACCGTGTTCACACGTGCGCCAAAAAACCAGTTTGGAGACTAGCTTTTATAGTTAAAGGGCGGCAGTCATCGCTCCGCGCATGTGGGACATTTGTGTTGATAAACATTGGAAATCACAAGTATGAGGTTTGCCCTTGGTGCGACTTGTACTAATTACCGCCGGTGACTCCTTCGATAACTTCCAATCACCTTAAAAATAACTAATCAAAGTTTGGTAACGTCTCACTTTGTACCTGTTGATCTGTCGCCATCTTTGTTTATATGAGACCCACATATCTCGCGCATGCGTGGCGCGACGACTACCGCCCTTTACGCCGGCGTTGAAACGCTTATGAACAAGATAAGCCGGCGCCACGCCGATTTAGTTTAAGGCGGCCCAAAATGTTTTCATTTCCTGCAAGTGTGCATGTTTTAAAGTAACATGGCGGCCGATAACAACGCCGGCGCAGTTTAGTCTTTATACACAGAACCAATTAAAACTACTGAAACTGATTGTTTACCAAGTTAGTCAAGACAGGTTCTGTGGACATGGCATTTGTACCGCAGTATAATAATAATACTCCTGATGAGGGCAGTATGCAACCATGAAACACAATAAATACCAACACTAAGTTGCTGTTGAGTGGCATTGCCTGCACCTTATCCATTTACGTCACGTAGAAGCGCTTCATCGTTAGAGGGCGCAACATAAAAGAAAGGTGTGTTGTCGACATACCGGTGATCGAATTTTATCCAATATCAAATGTTGTACTTTTATTTCCTGTGCTGTTATTTTGTGCGCCTTTTCATGTTTAATAACGCCATACATACAACTACTCGTCTCCGACAATGATAAATATTATTGTCTCACCTGCGATGCAGGCTGTGGAGAAGCACGTGCACGACCCTGCTATCAATGCACGTGTGATAATCTTCGACAACTCACTTTTCCTGTGCGGTATCATCGATGACATAGCCCCCAATACCATTCCCATGCTACTTATGTTATCGAATCCACACAGTATATAGGTAGAAATGACCTCAGAACGGTCCTAAAACAAATGTACATCATAGTTTTTGTGGCATTATTTTATGCTGTTTCTTAGAAGGTGTGGTGGCCGAACTACATTACACACAAACACTCACCAATGGGGATGTATTTGCCGTTCACCATTGGTTCCTATGGAAACAAGGTTTCGACATAATTTCATTCGAGTACATATTAAGCTTTAAATTTAAAAATGATACACACGGTTAACCCGAAATATTAGGAAATTCTTATTTTTATAATATAATGCTCCAACATGAATTTCTTTAAAATACTAGTAGTTCATTTGCGTATGTTTTCTTACATTTTTTCCACTATTTCCCACTAAGTAGAGAAAGCCCATCAGTTAATGGCTTACAAGTCTAGACCAACAAGTACGTAACACTTTCGGAACAAAAGAACGCGATACTTTTTTTGCTTTTATTTATTATGAGGTCCAAATCCAATGAACGACTGAAATAATTATAAAACACTGTTACTATAGAACACAAATACCAAACAATACCCATTCATATTGCCCCCTTTTAATCTTCGTTGTCTACGTGGATTCTCTGTGACACAGAAAAGCTTGACCACGATGACATTGCCCACGAGAAAACGCTAACTACAATACCGCAACGATTAGGGGTTACCCTTTCGAAAATTGGGGATTAGAGGAATGGACCATTAGATCATAGCGTCGTAGTGGCGACAAACATCGCGTTGGATTCAACAAGCGCGAAAGTATTTTCGGGGGTATTTCCATGCTTAATAATGTGCTGTACGCATTTAATAATGGTCAATTTCGATTAAGTAATGGTATTCAAACGCAATACTCCCCTGTCAAAGATCTGCCTTTCGATGTGAGCTACAAATTAAAGAAATTTGAGTTCAAAATCAAGTCGTTTGATTTTTGCGGCATGCGTTCAGCTCGCGTTTTTCAACACAACTCGCGAGATCTCACAGTTTCACAGAAAATCACCTATTTGGTTACCAGTTTTTCACATCTAAGTGACGACAATGTTCAAATGTTTTCCTATATTATGTAAACATTATGAGTTATTGTTTGTTGATCGACCATTTATTCTTCAAATAATCTACCCGCATTTCAGACCCCTTTATTCTTATATAATGTGACACTGTCATCCCACCTTCATAACGTTCCTATAATTATATTTACCGATATTGAGGGTTCCACGCCATTGTCACCATTTTCAATCAATTCAGCCAGTCTTATGTATGCCACATATTCATTTATAAATATCTTCAATCCAATGAGTTCAGCTACAAGGTGACAATCCGCCCATTCCACGCCAATCAAAAACGCCAACGGCATAAAGACATATGAACAGATTAACTGGAGAGGTAATACAGAAAGAAATGTGTTTATGACTGATGACGTATAATTTGCATACAATATAGTATTTTTTTACACTTTCTGCTTCACCGTGACTGGGCCGAATACTGGGCTGGATGATACGGCTGATGTGAGTTACTGCGTCCTCAACGACAAACTGAGACTAAATATTCATCGTTGAGGGCGCAATAACTCTATCTCGATTATGTGTGTAGGTTTTACTTTCGGTGCGGCAGGCAATACTAGTAGATCGGATTCGTTCGGGTCACAAAAAAAACACCAAAACAAATAACTCTTTTTCTAAAATATATATAATATTTGTTACCTGAAATGTAAGATCCTCCACTCCAACCATTCCACCAAACCACCCTAAGAAGCCATTGCAGAGTGCAAGTATTGATACGAATGCAATGAGATTTGCGGCTATGAATCCGACAACCAAAACGGCCATTGTAGCGCCGCTAGCGGCAGCATCTACCACGTTGATGGCGTCTCTAGTGTACATATAATTAATATTGTAATAGATAAAGTTCTGCGCAAAAACGTAAAATTAAACCCTCCAACAATCCAACTAAGAATTTGTACATCGGCAAATAAACGACTCATAATTTTAAAAAAAGCGTTGAAGCAAAGTAACGTTGATGTGTAAGCAATATCTTTCAAATGCACAACTCTATAATTGTTAGCCATTGAGAATAGATCGACACAAAACTTTATATCGATGCTATGAAATCACTTACGTCACATAATTGCTTCATCGCTAGATGGCGCTATTTATTGGAACAGTGTATTCATATATAATTATACGTACCATGAAACACGAGTGAACAGGGCATTATGGGTAATTTTTAAACTCTATCTACTCACGATTTATCCATCTTTGCAGCGACTTCATCATTACTCATGTGCTTGATTTTCTCCATTTCCGGGTAGAAAAGTTTGGATATTCCAAGAGCTGCTGGCGCTGACATTACAGAGGCCGCGACAATATGCACTGCTTCTATCCCCAGTGGTGGGTACACACCAAGAGCATCGGCGGACATCGTTGAGAAACCCCCTGTCATAACAGCATGTAGTTCGGATACAGTCATGTCGGCGAGGAACGACCGCACCAATAACAATGATTCCGTCTGAGGGGGAAAAACTGGTGTCAACCCGCTACCCAAAACCATACAATGGAAATTTCCGATGGTTTCCGAGTCTTTTTCTCTACCAGACAACTTTGCGTGCCATACAAAAACACTTTGTGAGTCTTTCAAACTCACTAAAAACATTTGTTTATTTATTTATTTTTTCCAATAAAAGTACCGATAATTACATAGCAATTACTTTTGTTCTTCAATATCATTCCTGTTTGATGTGATTAGTATGCGTTGTAAGGATATATATAATTATATTATAGCATTATCAATACCAGTGAATTTTATGACGTCATTGCAGCAGATTATTCGGAGGGGGGCAAGGGGGTAGCTGGTACGGTTTTACGGGAAATAAAAAGGGCGTTTTACAATTTACAAGGAAAGAAAGACGTTTTTACAGTTTACAGTGTTAAAAAAAAGAACATTTAATGGTCCGAAGTGCTCTCCGGCTCAAATTCCCCGCCATTGCTGCGCCGTGTGTATAGATGCACGCGCATATTACCCTCGTAATGCTCTTCATTCGGTTAGAGGGTCTTTTACGTCTTGACATTCAATTTTGTAGTGAATTTTGTCATCTAGTCGTTTTACAGTTTCTATAATGTAATTTCCCTGGATTATTCTTTACGATTGTTTTATTTGGATGTAAATTTTTGTACGTACCGAGAAAAATGACACATTTTTAGTGTACGAAAAAAATATTTGATCGATTACGTTGTACGTCTAGCCTGTGATTACAGAATTACGGAATTAATTTTTTTGAATTTACGTAGTAAGAACAGAAAAATGAAAATAACCTTTGCCCCCCCTCTATTCGCGATAATGTATTACTGTACATTATTGAGCATCAAGGCCCTGTCCCATGGATTGAATACAATGTTGTTCGTCGAAAACGAATAAACAAGAAACTGTTAAAAAAGAAGAGAAATTGTTAGATAACAAGTATTAAATACCAAAATCGGCATCAAATAAAACGGTCCATAACCAATAACAGCGGATTTCAATATCGAAATCAGACAATATTTTGAGGGCATCGTCGTCTGCTTTGTACGCTAACGCGCGTTCGGTCGAAGCGTTCCATCTAGTACGCGCGCTTCTAGATTCCGCGACTGCCGCCGCTGTCCCGGTGGCCTCCTGATTAGTTCGCCCTATCGTGTTGATGAAGTGAGGTTAACTAAGGATAATTTATCCAAGCAAATGCGATAAACGAAATGGGGTACAATGTATGTCTAGAGTACAGAGAGATGAATTTGTTCAGTTTTTGTGTACAGTTTTGTGAAACGAGATCGACGTGACTTGTATTTCCTTGGCGTTGACTCTCGGTAAATGTAACAGTCCGGGCACAGTTTGCATAAATAAATGAAAGTATCCGTGTTCTCAGGTGTGTATCTGTTTATTTATACAGTGAGATTAAAATCACTGTTGGTTCTCCTTCTAGGATGGCTAACACCCACTAGCTTTCCGGTCATGTTCGTTTGCCCGCTACGCCCGTAAGTTTCGTTTGGCTTCTTAGTATTCGTCAAATCCCCGCCCTCCCGTGGAATTTAAAATAACTATTACACAGACAGAACAGTTGCTAATAATATCTACTTTGATTGTTTGAAAACACTAGTGGGATGGGGTAACGATGCAACTACGTACATGTACCCCGGGTACGCACCCCTACGCACAGTCGATCCAGCTGGACCACGGCGGCGATCTAGCGTACAGTGTAGTGCGATCACTGTAATGCTACTCCACACCACACATCAGTCACTCATTCACTCGCAATGTAAATGAGTTCAATACAATAATATAATCAGGTGGATTTAAACTAGTTTCTTAGTTTGCCATATGAGATTGTGAAAACAATTTCCAGAAAAACATTTTAAATTATTCAGATTCACGGGCCAGACACTGTGAAACTATTCCGTCCACTGTAGATTTGTCTCCAATTGTTTTCGCTTTTTAGAGGTAGCAAATCCCCTGGTATTGACAACGCTACAAAATAATAACAATAATGAACTCCCCGACAACCCATAATGGACTCAAGCACACTTTGTGCTCCATATATGCATATATGTACTCGGCTCACGCCTCGTGCATATATGTGGCACAAAGTGAGCTTTCGCTCATTATGGGTTGTCGGGTCGTTCATTATTGTTTAAATGTAAAACATGAGACTAACTGTTATTGTACAATGAAGCAGAAGTAATTAGTCAGTGTCGCGCCCTCTAGTGACGGGCGCTTGTGTGGCGTCAAAATGACGAATATCAGTAAACTGACATGTTTATATTTTCCGCCATGACAAAGCAGGAGTATTTTTGCACCCCAGTTTTGTTACTTCTGGGAAAGTGGTCTATGGCGGTTTTCGTGCCACCTAACTACGTCACAGAAGCGCCTCGTCACTACTAGAGGGCGCATGTTATAGAACAAGTGTATTTACCGTATGTCTTGTTGTTTTTATATAATCAGCCACGGATAAGCCTATGACACAAAATGTTTAATCATATCATTAGTAATTTGTTCTATCTACATTCTTACCTGGCCAATGAATATATTACCAGCAGCATTAAACGACTCGGCGGCCGAAGTCGTCATGGTATTTTGTATAATCCACGCTATCTTAGTTACTGTGAATTGTATAACACCGAGGTAGTAGAGTATGTTAATGACACTACTGAAATAGATGATGATTGGCAGCACCTGCAATGGAAACAGACATGTATAACATCACAGGGACGAAGAGCATATCGCTAGCGGGAATGGAAGCGGAATAGTCGAAACTGACCTCTCAACGAAACCGAAGGAAATAATGTACAACATGTCTTTTTCGCAAATTTATCGAGAGAACTGATTCGCTAATTCAAGATGTCGCTAATGACTTGATTATAAATTCAAAATGGCCGCCAAACAAAGAAATCAACAATGACAAGAGAGATTCGCTAAATCAACATTCGCTATTACGTCATTTTACCACAATTCGCTAAAATTGCATGCCGCTTTTTCAACATGTTTTATAGTAGATCATAGAGATGCCGGTATGTAGCATGTATAATATATTTTTGTTTTATGTGCCTAAAGAACAATTAACCACCATTTTTTGAGGATTGTCCTAAATTTAGAAACTATGATAATATATTCCCTATATTATATCTTCGAAATCCAAGGTATGTTTATTTGGTCATCCGCGTCAACACGTACAACGGTTTAGTGAAGGAATTGATAACGTGTGGAATGTTCTTGTCCATAATAACGTCTGGGTCTTCGATGCACTATCCTTCGTCAAGCCATTTATACACCCGTGATCAAGGTAGGGGTGGGAGTATTCTACATATATTGCGCTATGCAACATATGTTTCTACGTTCAATTGACAGAAAAATTAAAATCCTTTGAATTTTTCGAAAGTGTCGATTACGACTCCTGTATAGAAAAGGAGAATAGAATGTTGCAATACAAATTAAACGTGTTGATGTATTCATTGATTCAGAAGAAGATGACACATTTCTTACTTTAAACGCAAAATAATGCTCTTCGAAATCTTCCCCAAAGACGAACTCCGCACCATAGTCAACAAAAGTGAAGAAATAGGCGATGGCGTAACTCAGCCACTCAAACAATGCGTATCCAACATATGTACGTAGTATGAACACGCCAAGAAGAAATTGGATTATTACACCCCATAAAACCGGACGCCATCGAACCTTGAATAAAAACAAATACGTGTACATTAGTAGGAATTGCCACAGAGGTCGTGACTGTAGGTTGGGAACTTATTTACGTCATAGGGGCGCCACTTATCGTTACAGTTTATTGAAAGCTATACAAAAATGTTAACCGATAGCGGTAGCCCAACTTCACAAATTTATAGATGGGTTCGATACAAAGCTGAATAAAAAATACATCGCAAAAATATGCAAATTCCAGCAAATCAACATAATTTGTAAAATTTTCCTCTACTCACTTTGGATGGATTTTTGGAGAAGACGAAACAAAAGAGAAGGATGGTACAGAAACCCACAACTGACATCAATTGTTGCCGAGCGTAGCGCGTATCAATGAGTATGAATATTGTCAACCCACCAAAGACCAGTACGTACACAACCCTGCGGTGCGAATAGTGAAAGATATGCACAAAAAAATTACATCATACTTTATGTATATTCATGTTAAAGTGCGCATGCGTTATTGAAACTTTCTTTTTTATTTAGTGAAACTATTTTTAGCATTTAGTCACTGTTTTTTTCAAAATCTAGTTTGGCACAAAATGGCCATTAATTAAGGCAGTTAATTTCTGATAGTTAGGTAATAATCGGAGTGCTACAATAAATTCGGTTTATTTATAGTCAAATTTAAAGAGGACATGTTTGTGCATAACATTTCATGTGCTATGCACTTTGGTTTATGGTCTTGCGGTACATGCTGTTTAATTAGTGAAATCGAGAGAAAGATATACGAGCACGCGTTTTGTATTACTGGTACGTACTAATAACTGTATGCGCATGTAAATGAGTAAAAATAAATCAAAAGACAGAAAGCTTGTTTTCACTGACCACTTCAAAATGTTCCAATGACTGTCTATTACAGCACCAATCGGAACCATGCACTTCGCGTAAATCACCTCCCCCTTTTTGTCTCGCAAGAGGGCGTACAACAAGTACAAGAGAGTGAGGATGGTGAAGACGACGAGCTCTGTCGTATTGTTGAAGTCGTAGTAGCACGCATAGATGAAATAAGCGGCATATGATAGAACGAGAACTGCCTGTATAGTGCACACTATTGGTCCACGGTGGCGACGACAGTATACTCTCGCGTTTCTGACGCTAATGCTCGTGTACTGCGAGAGAAAAAAATGCACAAATTAGCATACTGCACATTGTTTCATTTTCGTCACTAGAAATTATTTGATGACGTCAATGGCGAAAAATTAAAGCTTTATCGTATAATTTGTATTTTAACCTCTTTAGATGACGGTACAATGTATTCAGGACTGATCATCATTTGGTTTTACAATGTTTTTGATTGTGTAACTATGGATACAAATAGATGTACCTGTTAATGACCTTTTCGCACAAAACTCTAGATCCGCCATACCGGTGAGTCTAACAGCGATGTCAGGGGCGGATGTAGAATGTTCAATTAGAGGGCGCACTTTTACAACGACGTCACCTCGCTTAGCATTTTAGGATGTATTTGTAATAAGTAACCACGGTATTAGGGGTGAGAGAATATTTTTTCGATATCATCGACTGAGAGATAGTTTGTCTATATTTCTAAACGAAAGTGTTCCACGTGTTCCAATAACAGTGTTGTCACAGTTAATTGTTTTCAAATTCATCCGACCGCGCGATTCCCACCTTTGTGCATGTATTACTGTATTCTCTTTCATAAATATCGGTGAAGGTTCCCAAGTTATCATCCTCGTTCCCAGATAACGTGCCTTCTGTGATATCCTTCACGTAGTCAGCCTCTTCCTCGTTCCAAGAAAACTTTTCTTCTATATCGTTCATGGGTTCAGTCTCAGTCGATCTGTACTCTTGGGTCGCAATCGGCGTAGCTGTGGACGAGGCTGAAGATCTAAGATGTGATGATGTACTCTCTTCAGATGTCCGAGAATATCTGTGACAGATACGTACATCGTTACATTATTTGCATTTCGACATTATACAAGATCGAGCAATTCACAAAAAACGTTCAACGTCACCAACATTGCATCTATGTGATCATTGACCAAAGTTCTACAGTAGTTCCGTAACTCAAGTCACACTTGGCGGTCAACGCCAGAAATAGAGCGGGCAGTATATACAATGAGTGTGCCACAACCCCCTGGGAAGATTATAAGAAAGTGAAACCGCGAAACTTCTGAGCCTTCCAAAACAGACAAAAATGCGAAAATGTGTACCGCAACACATTCACAGCATTTCGTGAGAGAAAAGGGGCAGTCTAGTCTAGTATTTTTTGGCATTAGTTGTTACATGGTAGGAGCAGTTTTCCTGTGGAAATGGTCTTTTTTAAAGCTCGAAACACGCTTTTTCTAAAGTTTCAAGGTTTATTTTCAGTTACATATGATGTGTGTAGACGGCTTACTAGAAAGAATATGCTAGTAAATACGACACGTTTTCTACACTCCCCTCCAATAGCAGACTCAAATTACACAAATACAAATTACTATACACTGATCATCGGGGATTCATTCACACAATTGCGAGAGTGGGTCCTCTTGGTCGTCTGCGTCGACACGTGCTTAATTATTATTATTTATATTATGATGATGACGGTCAATGCTTTTCTGATGGTGGTGCACCAAATGGATGTTTTAACAAGATGATATCCTAATGTCCGTGTGACCAAATTTAAACAAATAAACATACGTTCCACGTGTGTAATATTTGTAATTTGCAATTTATATTCATTTTGCAATCTAATCTAGAAACGCTCTCAATGATTTACAGCAAAGCAAACACTAAATATTATGACCGATTATGTTTAATAGAATCACGTGATACCTATTCGGACATCATAATTTAGGGGCGCTGTGGTCACATATAGATCACGTGACCCGGTTGTTGGAATTACGCACAAGGCGCAATAATACAACATCACCATCGCCATTGGTAACAAAAACGGCCCAAAAAAAAAATCCTCATATTAGGCAGGAAAAAACACCGATTACACCCAACAGAGTAAATACTATCTGTTTATGGTTCATCAATTAAGTTTTACCATGATAAAATCTGAAGAAGTTGCTGATGTGTTCAAGTTATACAAGGCCATTCAATAATTCGAGATAAGGAATCACGTTTCTGACCAAGCAATATCATTTTTTCTAATACATCGGTTATTTCAGTGAATTATGCATAAATTATAATCTTGAATAACAACTTGAACATCCACTAATTTAGAAAAATAATTGGGGGACTGGGAGAAGGGGCATTAAACATTCGTCGTATATATTATATATATATATCAATAAACTCCACACGAGGATGACCCACATTCCGAGCCAAATGGTTGATGATTGTCAATGCCAAGTGCAAACTATACGACGAGGCTAAATTTACCATTGAACTCTGATTTGCAGACCACGATTTAAATGTTTGTAACGGTACATATACGGTTGGTAATTACAGGCACGAGTAACGTCTACCACGTGTAGTCGCCTACTAATCTCCTGAAACACGTGTACCACATGTATTACCGGTCACAGTTAAAACATAACATGCAATGCAATGAACACCATATCGTTTAGAAATAACAAAAATACTAACTGTCACTGGGTGAGACGTAAAATTATCCCTACTCGCATCAACGTGGCTAGACTAAACATGTCGAAGATTTCAAAGTCATAATACTGAATTACTTGATGATTCGTCGTATAAGTTTATGGCATAACATCAGGCGATATCTGGAGGAGGCAAGCTGGAGTGAACTTTGACCCGCCTTTGTTGATATACATGGCGAACAGCGTTTCTAAAGCTGCAACACCATGTGCATCCACGGTCACTACTTTTAGTAACCGTGGTGCATCCTTATAACTAAACGTGTATTATTTGTTACCGTGACGTCGATGGCACAATACTTTTGCGTACCACAAAATGATTATAATTAAGAAATTAAAGGGAGTGTAAGTTAACGCATGCGTGTTGGTAACTAAAGATGAGACGGATTGAAAGGACGTTATATACAACACGTGTTACTACATTGCTTGTTTACATGCAATTTGAACACGATCACCGCCTTTTCAATTTTGTTGATCAAATGAGTGATGTTATTTACCCCCTCCCACCCCACCACCACTACCAATACACAGATATTTAATAAACTGAGTAGTTCACCCGCAGTACTTCAATTGGACACGTTGAGTACATGACTTGGTGGAGATTGTATTCTCACACTAACCCCCCCCCCAAAAAAAATAAAACGTGTCAGTTTGTGCGCGTGCTCGAATTCCGTGTTAACTACTAGTATGTAGTTACACGCGTTTTCAAGTTGTTTCGATAACGTTCAAGAAGTACATATTACGTAAATGAGACAATGTATTAAACACCCATACGTTTTTTTTTATAAAAACAACTACAGAAAAAGTGACACCTTCATAGTCATATTGAAGAAAAACAATGTAATGTATCATCTTTTGTAACGTCGAGATGACTTAGATGGATCAAATGGATTTAGGTAGACTTGCTTGCAATTTCTTGTTTGTTTTTTTTTTTTTCAATTTAATGGTATCAGTGAGTATATAAATGACGAAAGCCGGGTATACCGTGAAACAAGTACTGAGACAAACAAGAAACTGTAAGCAAGTCCGTAGGTTCTTAACTTTTGTCTGATGACGCATGGACATAAATGTCCACATCAACATAAATGTCGCACATGCGCAGCGCGACGACATCACCCTTTAATTATAAACATAAACTAATTTGATTGAGCTATTACGCCACAGGAAAATCGCCGCCTTTGTTTCCATGGAATTAAAGCGGTGGATTCGTCACCTACGCATGCATCAAACGGCCATAGCATGTCGTTGTTTTCTAACAAGCGTTTCCCCATGACTCAATTTTCGCGCATGCGCAGGTGACGACCCCTCCGCTTTAACTACTTGTACAACAATGTTTGTAGACACAGAGTGATATGGACACGCCAGACTAAACCGTTGCGACAACTACAACAACAATGTATGTTGATTCCGTCGGCTTCACCATTTTATAAATATAAACTGAATCCTTATCTAACTGCGATATTAGAAATCATACATAATTAAACGCCAGATTTACAATAACATGCATGATAGTGCAGCACTGCGTATCTTTTGAATACTATAACAGTTTAGTTAGACTTGCATATAGCCTGACA